AACTTTAAATAACTCAAAAACAACAACAATAAAAAATAATATTAAATAATATGCTTATTTATCAACACGTGAACTATATTACCTATTTAGCAAATCGTGTACCTACTTATATTTATGTGTATTGTAATAAAATTAAAAAAATTAAAAACTTTTTGTGTACAGCGTCGGCAGCCGAAGCCGGTCCAGCGCGGCAGTCTACATAGGACCAGTGCGGGACCATTATATCCTTGCTGTCTGGGTATATATAATATAAAATAAGATAAAAATAAAGTTTAAAAAATAACACAAAAAAACATGTATTTATAAAGAAAAATGATTTAGAAATATCTTAATTCATTGTCTATAGTAAAAAGTTTTTGCTTCAGTTTTATTTTAAATTTGTAAAAAGAAGTAGTAGTTATGATGTCGTTATTAAGTTTAGAATTCCATAATTTGGGTCCTCTATTTGCAATAGAGAGTTTGGTAGCCGTATAATTTTTTATTTTATAAACGTTTTGGTAATAACTTTGTAATAATTGAATAGTTTTGTAATAATATTTTGTAATAAAATAATTGAATAATTTTCCAATAATTGAATAAAAGTAGTATTTTTTAACCGTATAAACGTTTTGGGCCCAAAACGAATGCCTTTGTTATCCAAGACTTTAATACTTTACCAACATAAGGGTTTTTACCAACATAAACCAACCAACATTAACCCATGGGTTAAACGAAGTTTTGATTTAAAAATTTAGTTGAGTAAACATAATATATTTTGCTAAAAAGGGTATTAAATATTACAGGTGTCATTTTATTACCAATTTTGTAGATTAAAGTAAGTATTTGATAAATGTTTAGTTGATAAAAGTTGAGTATATTTAGTTTATTAAATAAATCTTTTTAGGGCATTAAACTATTTACGTTAGAAAGAACTCGTAAAGCATTTTTTTGTCTACTGAGAAGTTTTTTTATCTTGGTTGCGTTGGTGCTGTACCAAGCAATGTTCCCATAATTAAAGTAGCTGTGAATAAAAAAAAAAGTATATTTTTTAAACAGTTTTGGTTTGAAAATCTTTTAGCTTTATATAATACGCCATTAATTTATGATATTTTGTTTTTTATTAAACTTATACTAGCGGGCATTAGATTTTAAAAGTTACGTCTACTAAACATTCTTACGTAAAGAACGTTTAAAAGACGTTTAAAAAACGTTTAAAAGACATTTATAACGTATTTTTTAAAAACAAATGCCCGTAGGGATGTATTCACGCCATGAAAAATTTTTGTCTAAAAATACGCCTCTTTATACTCTTTTATATGTTAGACTTATCAATACAAAGAGAGAGAAGTTTTAATGGACATAAATACGTTAGAAAACGTATGTATGTTGTTTATATGAACAAGAAACAGTAGAGGTCCGAGTATTAATCCTTGAGTAACACCGCATGTGACAGTCATATATTTTGATTTTTCTTCGTTTTACGATATATATTGTTTTCTATTTGTCAATTAACTTATAAACCAATCAATGCTCGATTTTTTTTATGCCATAATGTTTTAGTTTTGCTTGAAGAAAGTTATGATCAACTGTGTCAAACGCTTCGCTGAGATCTATAAAAACTTTTGAAATAGTGCAAGTACTTTTTAATTGCTAATTTGTTCACATAAGTTAGAGGTAATTTCAGTTTAGTTTTCTTTTTTTTAAACTTAAGCAACAAAAATCATCGGGGTAGAGTGAGGCTTGAATTCTATGCTTACCTAAATTTAAGAGATTACATAAGATTATTCAAATTAAGTGCAGGTAACTTAATACCTAATTGGTGCAAATATCCACAAAACTAACTGTAAGACTGAGTTTATTATGTTTGATAAAAATTAGCAATGCTGCAGTTTTTCATGGCAAAACTTCCCAAATGAACGGTGCTAATAAAATAAAGCTCAGAGAATGTGGTGGAAAGTCATTACACCTTGGACTAATTACTTTTCACTGCTGGATTTTTACTTTTGAATATCTTCCACATTTCGGATATAAAACGGATATTCCGCGGTCTTTAGGCAAAGACAACTGATGAGAAATTAAATGCGGCCTAAAAGAAAAATAGGACTTAACAAAAATTCAGAGAAAGAACGAGCCTTGTAATAAACTAACCCAGACCAGCACAAATGATAGCAATATTGCAAAAAGAATACTTGAAGATTTAGAAATGTGTGCTAATACCATTAGCGCAACAAGCTTTTTATTGTCAATAATGAGATTGTAGAAAGACTAAGAGATCCGTTTTTCATCCTCATTAATGAATCAACGGATGTGAGTTTAACCAAGCACCTTGCGATTTGAGTGAGATGTTTTTTAGAAAAAGAAAAAACAACTTGCTGTTAACTTTCTTGGTCTCATTCAAGTGATCTAAACAATGAACAAGGGTCTCTTTAATTACTTGAACTACAAACTTCACTTTCTTGAAATAAATCTTAAAAAACAGTTTAAATGGTTCTTCATTGGTGCTTTCAGCCACGTATTTGACCTGCTTTCTCTGTCTAGGTGCTTTTGTTTCTAACAGTTTTGTTGAGAGACTTTTTCCACAAGATATCTATTTGAAAACCATGCAGAAAAAAGAATGCCAAATCAGGTGCTAGATGTAGTCATTCGCATAAAATCATAATTAATGAGTCGAAAGAAGTCAAAGCAAAGATTTTAACATCCGCAATGATCCAAAAATTTGGAAATAACAAATATACGTAACAGACGCATGCGAGAATGAAGATGACTTTCACTTATTAGCGGAACTTTGTTAAATGTAAAAAGTACTATTGATCCTTTTTTTTTTTCATTGTATTAGAGGGATTATTACTTAAAAAATTATATTTTTGGATAAAAATGTTCTACTTTATTTCTTTTCTTTTTTTTTGATTTGTTCTGGCTTATCTATGGTTTGACTTTTATTTATTTTTAGCTTGATGCCAAAAAAAACAACAACAACAACAACAACCTGGCAACCCTGAACGCCGCACAGAGGAAAATAGTACTACAAAATCGTACCATAAATGTTTTTTGTTCAAATTTCAATTTCACTACTGAAATTTTATATATATATATATATATATATATATATATATATATATATATATATATATATATATATATATATATATATATATATATATATATATAGTGTATATTAGTATGCACCTTTTGATTCTTAATTGCCCTCTGCAAAATGCCTGAGGCTTGTAACATATTTGCAAGGTAAACAGCTTACAAGTTTGCTGTATGAATCATTAGTTAGGCAATGTGATTGTAACACAACCTAAAGGTTCCTTAGGCAACATATAGCAAATCTTTATATTTACCTTTAATAATTTTGTTCTTGCGTGTATATATATATATATATATATATATATATATATATATATATATATATATATATATATATATATATATATATATATATATAAATTAACTTAACGCTTAACTGTCGAAAAATACTTTCAAGACATTTTTGTAAATGCCATAAGACATTTTCCCAACACCAGAACATTTGTATAAGATATTGCAATTACAAAAGAATATGTTAAAGTAAAAAAATATAAATAAAATAATAGTTAGCTCTATCATCTTGAACAAAATAATCATTGAATAACTTGTATAAGCATTGAATAACAAAATAAACATTGAATAAAAAGGTATTATGTGGTAGGGAAAAGTAAAAAAGTATGTACACTTAAAAAAAAAATTGTTCACCTTTCATTTTGGTCTTTTATGTTGCTTATTTGTTTTCACTAGAGATATTTTAAATATTTATTAATTATACAACTAATATTTATCAGTATAAAACTGATAGATGTTAGCTGAATCATTATTATTTTACTTTAGAGTCAATAGTTGTAAAGAAACTTGAAAGAAACCATGTCTGTTTTCATTTATACCATATTTACATATAAACAATCAACATGTATGTGATGCTGTTATTTAGTCTAAAACACTAAATACTTTAATGTAAAACTGCAAATAACTAGTTATCACCAAATATCCAGTGTTTTTTAAAGTTAGAGATGGTTTTTTCAAACCTTCACAAAGTGTAATTAAAGTTAGCAAAGCAACAGAACAAAACATTGTTATTAAGTGATATCAATTTTAATAAAGTATTGCATAGTTGATGATATTTCAGTTGTGGAACAATATAAACATGCCCTCAGAGTTTCAAAAATTAGAAAACCATTTACAAAAATGTTTGATACAATGTTTTTATCATGTTTTATACTTGTAATGTTACTTTCCAGCTACTATTGCTAAGTAAGGTCGCATCAAGTTGTTAAAATAAACACCCAAAAGTAACCAGATCAAATATCAATTTGTCTTTTAGAAAAGTTTTATTTAGAATATCATGAATTCAATAAATTTAACAAGTTTATAAAAAGCAATACAAATTTTATTATTTCTTTATAGCGATATTTCTCTTCGTCGTTAATGTTTTGCGTGTTTTTGATTCCCTTTTATAATTTTTACACCTTTAAACATTTTAAATATAATAATATCATTGAAATATGTGACTTGGTCGAGTAGATATAAACGAAGTAAAAAGGTACATCTTCAAGCGCAATCACTGTATTTTCGGTATTCTGGGGCTTTCCAATATGGCGGCCGTACAAAATATTGGCTTCACTTTTGATATTAGAGATGCGCTATCCAGTTATTATAGAGATCAGTGTGTGTAATGCAGTGAATTTATTCCTTAAAGTTGTAAGTTCAGTTTTAAAAGTTTCTGTTTCAAAATATTGAGAACCAAAATTTATTCCGCGAAAAATCTGCGCATCTGCGTCATTCAAATCGTCGAGTATAACATTGTTTACCGTTTCGAAGACATTAAAGTGCAGCGTTTCAAAATCTATTGTTTTGTTATTCGTTATGCTTAAAATGAGAAATTAAAAGCGCTTTGAAAGAAAAAAAAATTAAGAAAAATACGCATCGCTACTTTTTAAAATCTCGAATAAATATTTTATTATATTTTAAAATGGCGTATTTACCTTCACTTCGAAGTCGTTTCACCTCTTCCCAAAGTTTCCTTCGTTGTTCAATCGTTTCTTGCGAAAAATCCTCGTTAATATACACACCAGTTCCTTTAAGATTTTTTACAGCATTTAGGATTTTGTTTTTATCCTGGAAATTTAAGAGTTTTAATACTTTTGTTTATTAATTGTTCTAGGTTAATTTAATTGTTCTAACTTAATTGTTCTAGGTTTTTTATTATTAATTGGGCCAATTCAATGGGCTCTTTAAATAACCACTTCGCTTGATATTTTAAGATTTTTATAAAGATTTCTTTCACTGCAATTTCACACTCGCTTTCTCCTGGTTTTTCTACTAGTCCATCTATTCTGTTTATAACAAAATCTATCTATCTGTTTATAACAAAATTTTTTTTGTCCGATTTTTATTGAGAATTAATTTTGATGGACACACATTCAATTTTTTTGCATTTTGTGGTGAAAAATCAAGCTACAAGCTCTTAACTCAGGTGTTATGATAAATGCTGAAAGTTTCGGGACATATGACACTGCCCACATTTGTGTGAGTAATTATAGCTGGTACTTTATGCCGTCTTCAGTGCACAAAATTTTACATTAAGAAAATATCATAAAACATTTTGCAGTACTTCCTATCGGGCAACTTTCAAGATGCGCAAGAATCCCGTACTAAAGGTTATAAAAAATTTCGCCTTCATCATGCCAGGAAATGTTCTAGATTAGCTACAAATGAGGACGTATTTCATACTTTTCTGTACACTTCCAATCCCTACATCACCAGCATTAGAAAACCGTACAGCAAAAAATGTCCAAGAACTCGATGAAAATACTTTGCAGCTTTTGAAAGTCGACTTATAATTTATTCTATAAAAACTCGCTGTATAAAAGTTGTTATTAATAAACTATTGTGAATATTGCTATAATAAGCATTTTATAAACTCTTGAAAATATATGTAATGTAATCATGTAAATGTTTAAATATATGCAAATTAATTAATTACACGCAACTATTAAAAAAATTAGTAAAGGAGTTAAACCTAATATAAGGAAAATTTTTGTTTAAAAAATTAAAAAGTACGTTTGTTTGTTGTTTTTTTTGTCAAGAGATTAGCCAAAAGCTCGTTTAAATGTTTTTTCATTATAAAAATTTAATATTAATATATTTTCTAAACAAATAAGCATTTTTTGTCGTTTCTAATACTTTTAAAGTTTTTAAATAAAATTAAAAAGAACATATTTAGTTAAAAGTAAAAAAAAAAAAAAAAATTGTGAGGTTTTTGATTTTTATTTAAAAGTTTTATATTAATTTTTTTTTTTTTTTTTTTTGATATTTTCTAAGAAGCCTCATATACTTCTTTACATTTGTGCAAAATTTCAACACTTTATAATTAGTAACAAAAAAGTTTTTGATTTTTGAAAAAAAAAAAAAAAGAAAATTGTGAGGTTTTTGATTTTTATTTACGAGTTTTATATTGAATTTTTTTTTATAGAAAATATTTTCTTAGAAGCCCCATATACTACTCTACATTTGTGCAAAATTTCAACACTTTATCTTTGGTAACAAAAAATTTATTGATTTTTGATCTAAAACAGACCTTTATTTTCCACTGTGCGCCTGCAGATCCTAAATTATCTCAGCATTCTATTAGCCTGCTGATCAGAGATATAAATTTTACTTTTCAACCTAAAAAAATATCTAAGGTTAAAAAAAATATGCCGTTGTTAAAAATAGTATTCCGAAGTTAAACACTATGATAAATCAAATGCACTTCAATCTAGAAGATTGTACCCAAAATTGGGGTTATTTAGAAAATTTGGAAAGAAATATGTTAAGATAACTTGTTACACTTTTGTTCAAGATTTGATAAATTATACTTTATAACTATAAAGTGAATTCATTTTTTGTCGGTTTTCTAAATAAATCCGACATTGGGCCAATTTGGAAACGTAGAACTATATGAATTGTTTTTGATAAAAAATATCGATATTTTTAAATAAATCAACATAAAGTGATTTTAAATTTTGTTGTTATGAAGTTTTTTTACGAAAATTCTCCATTTAATTATACTCATATTATTGCAGGTAATATAACAAAAACAAACAAATACCCTAATAAAAACAAGGTGTATTTAAAAAAACCAAAAAAGTGAGACAATTGAAGGTTTAGCTTCAAATTGAAATGTTTGATTCTTTTTAAAAAAACTTTTCATCTTCCTCATGAAACAAATAAAAAAAACTTTCCCCGTTTTCAATTAGATGAGCTTGTTAAACTATTTATCTTTACTTATAAAATCAGTTCCTTTTTTTTTGGAAAAAAAAATTGTCCCAATAGAATGTTGCATTCAAAATCTTCAACGATAATTTCACACTGTAATTATTAAAGTACTGTTCGTATTTTATTAATAACAGTGTAAAATTTGTTAATGATTTTTTACAATAATAGTTTCACTAACAAAGTATTTTAGTTTCTTTAAAAGTTTCCAATTTTTCTGAGCTTGTATATAGACTTTTAGCAAGGTAATTGAATGATGATAATCTTGCTCTTTTATTTGGGATAGCAAAAAATTCTTCGGCTATCTCTCCAACAATGTCAAAGGAAGCAGGTACAATTTCTGATGTTTTTTGTTTATCCAAAGTTTGATTTTCTTTAATTTTCACATTTTTTGGATTAACAGGTAATATTTGAAACAAGATATTCTTAGCACTAATTTTTTTTTCATGTAATACATTTCATTGTTTATATTTTGGAATTTTTTGAAGATTTATTTTGCAATTGTCATATTGCATATCTTTTAGCTTGTCTATTACTATATTTGAGCAGCCGAGGCGCAGCTGTTGCGCACTTGCCTCAGGAACAATGGATCCGTGGTTCAATCCCCACCTCTGGGCAAGTCTTGCAACATCGGTTATAAAAGAGGCGTAAACTTCCAATTAAATGCTCATCGGCAGTGGTCTGTGATAAGACCGTAAGGACTTCTTGAGGCACCTAAATAAGTAATATAGTAGTATACATTTGTTACAACAAAAGTAAAAATAATTTAAAGAATAAAATTATTTAGATTAGATTGTCAGATTAGAATTAGTTTTTGCGAAGTTAATATTTCAGTTTTCACTAAGGAAAGCTGCGAGCTGTATTAACCTTGGAGCATAACAAGGCTCGCTTTAAATCTGTTGAAAGTTGGAGTATTGATTACTTTATCTAGTAGCATGTTCCATGCAATAACAATGCAATTTTTAAAAAAGTGGAAGCGAGCTAAGTGGTTGCTGTACTTTTTACGGTGAAGTCTTTCTCTGTGATTTGCTCTTGGTAGAAATAAATTTTATAAGACTTATGAATAAATTAAAAAAAAAAATGTTGGACGTAAAGAAAAGGCTTTTAAAAGAAAAATTTAACCGACTGAGTGTGTCAAATACCCGACTAGCCTACTAACTTCGTGGAAAAACCGACTATAACTTAAAAATCACCATCTTTGGGAAATGGGGGTGTAACGTCCCCCATACTCCATACCACGTAAAATCGACTCTGCTTATATTATGTAAGCCGAAATATCACTATGACATAATTAAAATAATATATAATTCAACATAATATTATATATATATATATATATATATATATATATATATATATATATATATATATATATATATATATATATATATATATATATATATATATATATATATATATGTATATATATATATATATATGTATATATATATATATATATATATATATATATATATATATATATATATATATATATATATATATGTATATGTATATGTATATATAAATATATATATATATATATATATATATATATATATATATATATATATATATATATATATATATATATATTTGATTTAAGAAAGGTTTTGGGAGATACACGGATCCATGTTAATTTTTTTTACCTTTTTTGACATTTTTTGACCACATGTGTGCCACCCTTAAACATTATTATACTTTATTTTTTTTTATAATTTAAAAAAAAATTAGACACTACCTTTATACATATATTTTTTCTTTAACAAAAAAGTTGTTTAAAAAGACTGAATAATGATTTTATTTTTTATTTTAACGAATTTTTTTAATATTGCTTTACACAAACAAAAATTATTTTGATATACCGTTTCTACGAGAGCAGCGTGATTTATTTGTACTTATGTATTAATCATGCTCAATTATAAACATCTGCTATTTTAATAATGTTGAACAAAACTTTAAGGTGTGTAAAGTGTTAATTTTGTTACTTTAAATTTGCAGTGTTTAATTGATTTTTGCATAATATTAAATGAACCATATTTTTGAAATTAAGAAGATATCTAAATTTATGTTGTTATAGTTCATTTACATGAAATAAAAACTAAAAAGTTATGCCATAGATTCATAGATTAACAAGAAATCGAGGCAAAGAAGTATTCTTAGTTAAAAAAACTAGGAAGACATTATCATCTATTCAGTTTTCAACTATAGAAGAAATAATTCTTTATTATCTAAGGATACAGAATTCGTAGCATAAAATGCATTTTACGGTCATTATTATTTATCATGCCTTTATGTAAATAAATTATGTAGTTTTCTAATTAATATTAATTTCAGGAAAGAAGTTGAGGCTCTAATAATGAAATATAAAAAGCTGCAATCTGAAATATAAAAAGCTGCAATATAAAAAGCTGCAATCAAAACAGATTGACACCAGGAGCAATCAAGGATAGAGAGACCTTTTTGATAGAATCTAAAAAGGAATTTTGGTTGGGACATAACTTAAAATTTTGATTGATAAAATAACAATGGATAGAAAAAATAAAAAAAAATAATTTATGGACATTTTGTATTTGAAAATGCATAAGGAAAAAAGGCAAGGTAATCTAGGTGGTTCTGATACTTTAATAAGGCTGCAAAAAGATCTGATAAAAAGGCTGGTGAAAGATCTTAAAAAAAAATCTAAAATATCTTCAGAAAAAAAAGAATTATATATATCTTATAGCTCAGAAAGTGATGTCACTGATTATTTAAGCTCAGAATGCAATGACTCTGTTAAAAGTGAGCTAAATGCAATGACTCTGTTAAAAGTGAGCTAAAAAGACTCTGTTAAAAGTGAGTTAAATGATAATACAAAAGAAGAAGAACCAAGT